TCTAATTAAAAGAGGAAAACACACATATACTAAATTAAAAATTGATATACCTACAAAATGGTTTTCCATTGTGAAAATTGAGAAACCCATGTGCCAGAAATGTTTTTGTTTTGCCGGTAAACATAAGCATGCGCTTTGTTTTCTTTCGAGGGAAAAAACGCTACTACTTAATGTTGTGTAGAAATTAAAAGGAAAAGTAACCAAAAAAAAAAAAACTAACCGTTGCCTTTTAAAATTAAATAGGTGATGCTAATTATTTTTGTAAAAGCATTGAATATTTTTATAAAGATTTTGACGTGTAAAAGTTACTCTTTTATTATTTTAAAATTCAACATATATTTTTGTGTCATTTTTTTAAATTAAAAGGAAAGAGCACGCCAACATTGTTGATTAAAGGACACACTAACAAAAATAAACACACACATTCTGATACAAATTAATATCAGAATTAACTTCATCAACAATATTAGATGAGGTAGATAAGATATTAAGAATTGTTGAGCTCATTTTTCTCTCAATTATTTATATTAAATGTTATTAATTGGCCCATTACCGGTATTTTTATCTATTTACACATGCATGGCACCTCCTTGCCATCTTTATTATTGATGGGTTTAACTTCTTATATTGTTAGTGTTAGCTGGAAGAGACAACCACTTTCTTAATTACATGGTGGATCATCGTAATTATTACTATACATGATAATTAATTGCATCTAAATTTCCCGGTCAATTAAAGAATGCATGCTTATATGCTTTTTAATGTAGGATCTAATTGAAAATTTTACTTTTGTTCTAAAGGTAAAATCTTAATTCACTATCTTCAAATTTATAATTGTTCTTTAAATTATCTCTGTTAATCGCAAATACTAAGGAATGGTTTCCATATGGGATAGCTTTCATGGAAAATTATTAGAGTGATATTTAAAAAAAAAATATTAACACATTGTTTTTACAAATAACTGACTAACTCAATTAATTTTTTTAATCTCCACAAGTTAATCATTAAACTCATACAGTTAGCACAAGAAGGGAAGGAGTATTACCTCTTACTTCTACTAAATCCAAATCTCTTTCTATTATACTCCCTCCGTTCCTTATTATAAGAGACGAATAACCGAATTACGTCGATCAAAAAAACAGTTAAAATTAGTTAAGAACAATTAATATGTAAAAAGTATAATTTTTTTTCCAACAATGCCCTCATTAATAAGGAGAGAGAACATGAGAAAGAACAATGGTAATTTATTAAAAGAAAGAGAAATGGGAAGGAGAGAGAGTGTGAGTTGGAGACAATAAATATGGGTAAAATAGGAAATCAACACAAAAAATTAGAGACAACTTTTAAGTGTCTCTTATATATAGGAACATGCCATAAGCACCAAATGTCTCTTATAATAAGGAACGGAGGGAGTATCATCTTTGGTGTATTTTTCTTGTTTAACATTAATTAAAGAATCATTAAGATATTCTCAATGAGTTGAGCTTTAAAAAACAAATTATTGATCTGTATTTCTAAAAGATATAACTGAACAAATATAAAACTCAGTTCCTAATGTAAAAGTTACTTTACTATTTTGAATAGATTAAAAAAGCTAAATAAATTATTTAATAATTCTAATAAATGAAATGATCTCCTTAAAATATCCTTATATAGCATTAGATTATACTCCCTCTGGTTTATTACCCACAAGAGCTAATTCAGTTGGTAAGGAATCAGCTTATAATCTACAAAGTTATGAGTTTAAATCTCACTGCCGATATGAGGATCTTGCTAATGGGCAATATGTAAGTACCTTCATAAACGCTTTTTAAACATGGAGGGGTTCAAAATAAAATATCAAATCTTTGAAGGGGCTTGGTTTTTTGTAAGATACAATTTGGATTTGTCCAATCATTCAATGCATTTTTTTAATCTTTATCCCTAATTGATTATATGTTTCTCTCATCTCTTTTTTCCACTTATTATTTCTCATCTCTTTTTCTACTCCCACACACTCTCTCTCTCTCACACACTTACCCTCCCCATATATAAGAGCATTTTAGGAATATAATTTGCATTTTTTACATATTTATTGTCTTTAATCAAGTTTAATAAATTTTTTGAATTGTATGATTCAGTTATTTGATGTTTATATTTTGAATCAGTTTATAAGTTAGATAAATTAATTTAAAAAAATATTAGAGATAAAATAAATTAAGAGTAATTATTAAAAAAAAAAAAGAGTGCTCAATTGCGAGGCTCCTTTGATTAGTTGCAAAGGGATCAGTGTAAAGAAATTCTATATAATGCAATGATCATGATCTAGAGTTTTTTTTTTTCCCCCCGGAATCCTTGCAATGTACTCTTCAATGTGAAACTTAAGATAATGATGCCGATGATCCTTTTCTTAGCGCAGATCGATACGTGAAGCTTAATTAGTTTTTATATTTATTTATAAGCTTAATTTATCTTTAAATGACACTACCTCTTGGATCTCTTTCCTCCCAGCCAGAACATAATAAAGACATTTCCAGACCAAATGTTAAAATCCATATCCTTTCAGGAAAATATGAAAAACCAATCCCTGTTATTAGTTTTATTAAGATTGGAGCTTGTAGAACTATTATGAAGCGAAGCAAATTTAATAATTTTTGGAGATTGTCAATTATCTCAGAGATTTGGCATTTTGATCTACCCAAGTAATTGGATGATCTCGTTTGGATGAAACATAGGTTGGAGTGATCAACAAAATATGTCCAGAAAGTACAGAATGTTGGTTGTTTTGAAAAATGAAATTTTTTGCCCCCAAAAACTCAATACTACTACAGTTTTAACAAAAATAAATTGACGTTCTCCTCGAATATTCCCTTGTGTTTTTTCTTCCTTACAAACGTCTATACATTTTGAATGCTTTAGTATTATTACATTCTCGTCAGCATCATAATGATAATAATTATTAAAGTAAATGGCTGAGGATGATAATCTATTATCACTTTCTTTGTCCCTAACCCTCCAATCATGGCTTTATTTATCCCAAGTTACCCTTCTTTTCATGTCTAATTGGACCAATTTTTTTTAATTAATCTCTTTAATTAATTTCATTCCTCTAATCTAATGTGTTCATATTTATATCGAACGCAAACAAACGAGGTTGGTGAGGTGTAATATAATATTCGTTGTGTCCATCTGCTTTCCAAAAGACATGTATGGGGGGAAAAATTCACACTTACTTTTCTTTTCGAAAGTCAAAAGGGGTCCAAGTATTAATATTCAATAGTTACCCAAAAAACATTAATATTCTATATATCAATCTATGAAAAATCGATAAATTATAAATGCTACAATTTTGCTTGAATCTCATGTAATTTTTTCCCAATTTCCTTAACTTCTTCCACGTATATCTCAACATGTTTAATTTTTATATATATATATATGTATGTTAAAATAAATATGAAGATGATATTTGAAGACGTTTTAAGAGTATTATTTTTTGAAGTGTATGTCACCAGGGTAACAAATCTAGCTAATTAAATTAGAAACACACTAGCAAGTAGTTGGATATAGAGTTGTAATTCACTGTTCAATTCATGATTAAATTAGCCGTTGGAGCAATAAAATTAAATCAAAGTGGAATATATTTTTTTGGCCATCCAAAGTGAAATGTATGTACACTATAATATGCATCGTCCCTTCTTGATCACACAAGGCTACGTGGTGAACTGTTGGTTAATGATGATTTTAAATAGCTCAACCATTCATGATCACATCACTCGCACCGTGCGCACTGCGTGCCACGCGTTCTTACCTTATTGGCCCACCGTAATCGAACGCATCAACCCTATATACTATATTATCTATCTGGATAATTTTAATAATTTAATAATATACCTTTATCCGTTTTATGAGGTGGAATGACATTTTGGGACAAATGGACCTGAAGCTTAATATCATGTTTGGGTCTAAATATTTTTTGAAAGTTCTAATTTCGGACCCTTATTCCCTGAAAATGAACATACTGTAAATTTTAGGGTTACTAAAATATTTGATCCTTATAATTTGTCCTCAGTTCTGATTTTGGATCAGTAAGTTTCTTTATGTCTAATATGTTAGATCTTATATTTTAACAAGTACTTAAACTATTTTGTTCTTTACGGACCAAAACACAAAGTTTAGAAATATAGGAATTAAAATCAATATAAGGGCAAGTTATAAGCTCCAACGTTTTATTGATCATAAATTTTAATAGGTTAGTTACAAACCAGTATATCTTTAATAATCCATTCGATACTTTTTTATAACTGATGCATAATTAATTCATCAAGCGTGAGGAAAAAAATCAAAATAGTTAGAAATCAATAAATATTTCAAAAATGTATTTTAAAAAATAAAATATTCATTTATGTAACTGACTGGTTACTAATGAACACTTTGTAGTTTCTTATGAATACCCTCATTAATGATAATAAAAAAGGAAAATTCTAATAAATACTCAAGACAAAAATTGTGGCATCTTATAAATAAGATTAAAACAATTCTATCAAAATTCTCTCATGAAAATGTTTGGAGGGAGGCGTAAATTTAGTAATTTTATTCCGAATAAAACTTAAGTCCATTTGCACATGAATATTACAGTCAGTTCACAACTAAAATTTTAACACTTGAATTTTATTATGGTAAATATAATTTTATCTCATCAAATTTAGGTATGGATGATAGGAGAAAAAAATTTCAAGCTGCAAACTTTGATTAGAGAATCAATTGTAATGAACACAAACAAATGAATGTTAGTCTTTTCCTTTTATATAATTACATGTCTAAACTAGAATTTTGGAATTGTTCGGTTACAAAATAAAATTAATGTTACATGTTGGTCTTAAAATGTCATTCTCTCCTTTTATTAATACTAAATTAATTAAAATAATACATCTATGACTATATATACACACCTATATAAACACACAACCACCTATCTCGCTTTCTTCTTTCTCCTCCTCTTCGTCCCCATGAACCAACGATAGAGACGCGATCGCGAGCGAAGAGAGAGAACGGCATGAAATGATGAAAACGACGGCCATTCCCGGATTCTTCCTTCTTTCTCTCTTCCTCTCTCTCTCCCTTCTCACTTACCTCCGATACCATCGCCGTCCTTCTCCGCCGCAAAGCCGCCAGGATTATCTCGGATCCACCCAAGATCTCAGGATCCGAGGCGGTTACTCCTCCTACGACGCCTACATCCGTCGCCAGCTCGACAAGACGCTCAACCCAAAGCTCCGGAAAATCTGGACCACCCGAGACTGGGACCGGAAAATATCCGTTTTCTCACAGTATTTTCAGAAACTCCAGGGCGAAAACCTCCTGAAAAACTCGTCCAAGTCTCTGTGTATCGGAGCTCGGGTCGGGCAGGAGGTGGAAGCTCTGCGACGGATAGGAGTATCGGAGTCGGTGGGGATAGACTTGGTTCCATATCCGCCATTGGTGTTGAAGGGAGATTTTCACGATCAGCCATTCAAGAATGAGACGTTCGACTTCGAGTTCTCGAACGTGTTCGATCACGCGCTGTATCCGGAGAGATTCGTGGGGGAGATAGAGAGGACGTTGAAGAAAGGAGGGGTGTGTGTGTTGCACGTGACGCTGAGCCGGCGGCCGGATAAGTACTCGGCGAACGATCTGTACAGCGTGACGCCATTGAAGGAGCTGTTCAGAAGATCGGAACTGGTTCACGTACGTAAAGTTGACGCTTTTGGGTTAGACACAGAAGTCGTCTTTCGGAAGAAACAATGATTTTAATTCTAATTATTTTCGTCGCGGCAAATTAAAGGACTTTTCTTATTTTCCCTTTTTTTTTTGTTGGATGAATTTATAGTTTGTAGAATCTCTGAAGATTTGGAATGCTGCAGTTGTATTTAAAGTTTAGAAATTGCAGGTAGTTCTGCTTTCTTTGTTGGGGTTCATTTTGACCCTTTTGTTCATAAATTGAAATGGAAAGTAAATTAATGTCTAGAAATTATATTTAAATTATTTATTCGTTCTTATCTTAATTTATTTTCTTTTTTGGTGATCAACTGTTTTTTTTTTTGGGTCAAAAGATTAATCAACTGTTATATATGCATGGAGATTACCCGGTTTTGGTGATGAGCAACAGCATCCATCACTTGATGAGCAATCTGAATTTAACATTTTTAATTATTTATTTTTAAATTAAAAATTATTTTTTTAAAAGAGATAGTTAAGAAATTATTTTTATTTTTGATTTTACACCATTAAAACAATTATTTTACAAAATAAAAATAAAAAGAAACTAAATATAAACCATCCAAATTAAATTTAGATGGTTGAGAAAGCTTGATCCGAGTCAAGGTAAATATGACCTGAATATAATATTGCGCATGACGGATGGCTTAAAAACATGATAAATTCATTGGATTTAATATCACATTTGGCCGGATTAAAAAAAATGAGGTCAATATAATGTGGTATCTTCTAATTATCAAAAAGCAACATTTTTAAATTGCCATGCAGATAGCCGGCGGACATATAGCTATATTATATATTGCCGAACCTCAAAATTTTGTGGCGGGTATCCTATGAAAATGGAATGTGGGGGCAATGTAGAATTATATATATCAAACGAACATATCTCTAGCCAACGAAGCTTGTTTGATGTAAATATAAATAAAATAGTATCCCAATTGATTTCATTATATATGTGGGGTTGATCAGAAAAACTTTTATTTTTAGAAATAAATATCTCTTAATTATCTCCAAAAAAAGATTACTAAATTTAGTCACAACGATTTTAAGAGGCATATATGCATGAGAAAGTAGAGAGATATAGCAGCTGGAAAAGAAAATGCATACTTATCTGATACAAATAAATTTCCAACTACCATGCATATATATCCATGTGTGTTCGTTTGTTGTGAGTTGTGACCTTCTCAAAACAGCTCACATAGCCTAACCTTCCCATTTGTTTTTCTCCATCAACAAAAAAAGAGTCACATGCGCACAGACACACACACACAATATATAAAAGGAAATAAAGTGGGCAATATATTGGAAAATGAATAATATATGCAAAGCGTGAGGTGAGGAGGAAGAAGAATAATGGTGTCGAGGCTTTGTGGGACAGAATTAGAACTTGCCCGTGACAACCGCCGTTTACTTTATCTTCCGTCTTCCTCCGCTGCGCTTTGGACACAGAAAAAGTGTTTACCATTTCCCTCATACTCGGATCTAGCTAGCTTCGCTAGCTACCTGCCCGTTTGTTTACGGGCGCACACACGCCAATCATATGACTGTAAATGGATTTGATATGGGGATCATATCAAATTCCAATTTCTGTTCAAAATTGAGCGGCTCAGTATATTTTATTCTAACTACTAACTTTTTGATCAACCGGTTAGCGTGCTGATTTCACCTCTAGGAGGATGAGAATTCAAAGCTCATTTTATCTTAACTATTCATGTTTGATATCAACAATCCAGATGTTATAATTTTTAATTAACTATTTTCAACCAAATAAAATTATTTTCTTGAATAAAGTGATAGCTAAGAGATTATTTTTATTTTAGATTCTATACTTATTAAAATAATTATTTTAAAAATAAAAAAAATAAATCTAAATGGTCCATAAATGGTTTGGACAGTTCAAATAGAATAAGTTTTGGGTGTTCATCATAAAAATGGGTACTCAAATCAGTTCCACTTTTTGATGATGATGATACTTCTCATCTTAGGATTCACGAGGTGACTAATATTACTTGTGGTCTTTAATATAATACTCTCTTGGGTTTAAAATATAAGCTAAACCTTGTTGAAGGGGCTTTTTTTTTATTTTTTATAAGATAACATTCATTTTTGTCTAATTATTTAATGAGTTTTTTTTTTCAATTTTACACCAATATATTCTTTTTCCTCTTTGATTCATTTATTATATCTCTTACATATTCTTTTTACTAATAAGGGCATATTTGGAGAAAAAAAAGTACATGTTTTACATATTTATTATTTTAAACTGATTCTAACTAATTTTTTGATAAACATAAATAGATAAAGTTTATCTTATATTTTGAATTGGATGGAGTAGCTACTTAACTAATTTGAGTTGATTAAAAAAATTAATAAAGTTATTTATTTGTAACAAATATATCTTAGTTTTCTTATAATTCTCTATATAAACATGTACATTATAGCAACCCATATGAAAAGTTTCTTATTATATGCAATAAGGATATTTAGGAAACAAATTATGAACTGAGAAATTATATTTAAGATCAAAGTAAATTTCTTATTTAGCTCTCTTATAGCAGTGATAGTATAATGCTTTTCGTTTTGCATTATTGGTTTCTAGAGTGAGACCATACACACACACACACACACATATATAGGTATACTATAGCTTGCTAGTTGCACTAATGAACTTCATCTGGCATTTTAATTCAATAAGATTTTCATTCAAAGTGCTAAGCAAAACACGGCATTATTATTGAATTTGTTTTTTTTTAAAATAAGAGTGGTAATTAACTAAATAATTTAATACTACCTCCGATATTTAATATAAGACCTAGTTGATTATTTTGAAAAAATTAAAAAAATTAGCTAATTTAGTTATAGGTTTTGTCTTTCCTAGAATATTCTTATTAATCATATGTATTAGCCAAAATTACTATTTGATAGAACTTTTAATATGTACAACTATTACAAAAATTATTTTAAAAAATGGATAAATATGAGTCAAAGTGGATTGTGGTTAGGGGTGGGAATAGGCCAGGCGGCCTGTCAGGGGCCTATAGCCTGGCCTACTTTCGGCCTAATCAGGCCAGGCCTGTTACAAAATAAACACAGGCTCAGGCATTTTTCAAGGCCTATTTCACCTAACAGGCCAGGCTTAGGCTCTATGAGAAGCCTATTAAGCCTGTCAGGCGGCCTGGGCCTGTTAGGTATTTTAAATATTATATGTAGATTATGCAAAAGATAGGTCTTGAACTTAAGACCTACGGATGGATGAGAAGAATACAGCAACTCCACCACCGGACCAACATGTTTTGTTGTTATTTCTTTTGCATAATATATAATTTTAAAGCTAGTCAAATAAATTGGCAAAAAAAATTATTTGCTCTACACACACTGAGTTCCATCATACCAATAGACCATCGCGGTCTCGCGGACACACAACTCTCCCTAGGTTTAGCATTTTCGCCTCTGTTCATTGCAATTCGCCGAGACGCCATCACGCCAACTCTAGACTCCGGTCACCGAATCCGAGTCCTATAGACCACACTCTGCTCTTCTTAGTTCTCAGAATCTCAGTCAAAGACTGTCTTAGATTCAGTTTCTAGAGCTCACCGGCGCCACTGCTGGCGCCACTGCTCACTCTCGAGTCTCCATATCTGAGCTTCAAAAAGTCAAACAGTCGGCCTTCATTCAGTCCTCCGGTGCTCGTGACGTCGGCTCCTCCTCCTCGTCAGTCTCCAGTGCTCGCGACATCAGCTCCTACTCTAGTGCTCGTGATGTCTGCTTTGATCTCCAGTGGTCGCAACGTCCACCCTGTCTCCAATGCTCGCAAGTTGCAACGTTGGTTTTATCTGACCTATCTTCATCCTCTTGTCTCTCATCATTCGGCCTCACTCCTCACAAGACAGAGCATTGGCGACTGCTCCTCCTCCTCAGTCCTCGCTCCTCATCTAGCTTGGTAAGCTTCTTGGTTCCTTCAAATGCCGTGCTGATATTGTTTTTAGGGGTGAAAAACTGAAAATGCTGTGCTGATATTGTTGTTTGTGGATTCTGCGCTAAATTAGAAAATGCCGTGCTGATATTCTTGGTTCCTTCAAATGCCATGTGATTTTGATGCATTCGATATATATTGTTAGACTTGACTCTGATTCAATTTTAATGGTGGTCCTTATAAACTTTACATCATTTCATTTGTTTTTCTTTATGCATACAAGAGGGACTCTGCAGAAACCATAAATGAATTATACTGTTTGCAGAATTGATCCCCAGTGGTACCATGAAGCGAATACATGATTTTAGTTAATGTTGTACTGATACATGATTTTTTTTTCAATTTATTGTTATGATATTTTGCATCAATAATGGAATGGTAATATATGCTCTATGTTTCATTTCTAGTTAATGTCATCTCCGTTTGAGAGTGAAACAATGTCATCTAATTCAGTTCCTTCTAACACTATTGTGGCTAGTCAACAAATACCAACAGATTCTAGTCAACAAACTAACGAAGGAAATGATGTTAATGATAGTATTATTCAAAAGAAGAGGTGAAAAACCTCAACCATTTGGGAGGAGTTTGATCAAGTTGAAACTGATAATGGGATCAAAGGGAAATGCAAGTATTGTAAATAACTATTCGTGTACTCAGGGAAGGGAGCTAGTACTAGCCATCTTCGAAGACATGTCACTATCTGTTTGCAAAGAAAGTTGCTTGTTTCTTCACAAAGCAAGCAACCCACAATTCCATTTCAACCTTCCAATCTGAGCATTAATCCATTTTTGACACCGGGTGCTAGATATTCTAATGAAAAGATGAGGGAAATAATAGCTACTGCAATCATGGTGCATTAATATCCTTTTAATATTGTTGAGGATGAAGTTTGGATGTGGGGCTTTCAATATGCAAATTCTGAATTTCAAAAAGTATCTCGAAAGACAGCAAGAAATGATTGTTTAGCGATATATGAGGCAGAGAAGAAACAATTGAAGGCCTTATTAGAAGGTGTGAACAAGATTAGTTTGACTACTGATATGTGGAAATCAGCTCACCAAGTAGCTGAATACATGGTCATCATCGGGCATTTCATTGATTCGGGATGGAATCTTCACAAGCGAGTTTTGAGTTTTGTGAAAGTTCCTGCTCCTAGATGAGGAATTGATGTGGCATATGCTATTTTCAAGTGTTTTAAGGGTTGGGGTATTGAAAACAAAGTGTTTTCTGTGTCAGTTGACAATGCTTCTTACAATGATTCTTGTTTAAGAGCTCTTAAGGACACTTTATCACTTAGTAGTTCATTACCTCTAGGTGGTGATTTGTTTCATGTTAGATGTTGTGCACACATATTAAACTTAATGGTGCAAGATAGCCTTGGAAGAATTAGGGACATTATACATAATGTTCGAGAGAGTGTGAAATATATCAAGTATAATGACTCAAGGCTGAAAGCATTTTGTGATGTTGTTGAGCAGAAACGTTTGAAGGAAAGAAAGCTTATTCTTGATTGTCCAACGAGGTGGAATTCGACATATAGGATGCTGTCTACTGCTTTGAAGTTTAAGGTTGTCTTTCCTGATTATAAGGAAAGAGAGCCACATTACAACTATGCACCATCAGAAGAGGATTGGAATAAGGTTGAGAAGATTTGTAAACTTTTAGAAGTATTCAATCTAGCCACCCATATCATCTCAGGTAGTGAGTATCCTACTACAAATTTATATCTTTTTGAAGTGTGGAGAGTGAAGCAAGTAATTGACAATGCCATAGAAGATGATGATTTCTTTATAAGAGAAATGGTAGCTTTAATGAAAGAGAAGTTTGACAAATATTGGGGAGAATGTAATATGTTAATGGCCATTGCAAGTGTTTTGGATCCCAGGTGCAAATTATATGTTGTTAATTATTGCTTTCCTTTGATTTATAAGCCTGATTATGTGGCTTCTGAGAATATAGATAAAGTGGTGAGTGCCTTGAGATCAATGTATGATGAGTATGTAAGCATGTATAAAGGAGACACAATGGGTAATAATGAAGTTGATAATGCTGGTAATAACTCTTCTGCCAATGCATCTGGTTCTTTTATAGTTACTGGATTTGATCAAATCATGAGTATTGTTCGTGAAAAGCAAGCAGTCCCCCTAATGAAATCAGAATTGGAAGCTTATCTTGAGGACGGTGTTTACATTCCTGATGGTAATTCTAACTCCTTCAGTGCCTTGGAATGGTGGAAAAATAATAGCATGAAGTATAAGATTTTATCTAAGATGGTTGCTGACATATTAGCTATTCCAATCTCAACCATAGCATCGGAGTCCATTTTTAGTGCTGGAGGTAGAGTTATCGATGAATATCGTTCCACATTGAATGAAGAATCAATTGAAGTGCTTATTTGTAGTGGGGATTGGCTTTGCAATAAGTATGGCTTGAGGAAAAAACCAAAGGTATAAATTTTGTATTGTAAAAGTTATATCGTTTCTTATTCTTCTTACTTCTTAAATTGTGATATGATCTAATATTATACATTTGATTTGTTTTTTTTGAAGGTGCTCGAACAAGATGAAGAAATTATATTGAAAATTTGATGATTTGCTACTGGTGACTATTCTTCTTAAACTTGTTTGTAATGTTGTTGTATTTGGTATGTTCTTGTTGAATGTTGATTAATAACATTATTTCAACTTGTATTTTAAGTACTTGAGTTGTGGATTGTGATTTTATTTGAGTTTATTTAGTTGTATGTTCTCTCTGTTTTTTTTTTCCCTGTTTGGCAACTCTATTTCAGATCACTAGTGGCCTGTTTCGGCCTGTTTAAAGACATAGGCCTGTATTTTGTTAAGGCCTATTCTCAGCCTGTTTAAAGGCCTGTTCTCGGCCTGTTTAAAGGCCTAAGCCTGTGTTTCGATAGGCCTGTTAGCCTGTTTATAGATTTTTAAAAGATACAGGCCTGTTAACAGGCTTTAGGCCAGGCCAGGCTTTTATATAGGCCAAGCTTAGACAAAAAAAAAAAGCCTTTAATAGGCTACAGGCTAGGCTCAGGTCTATTTGTTACAAATCAGGCCGAGCTTATTAAGACAATGGCCTGGCCTGGCCTATTCCCATCCCTAATTGTGGTTTTATATTTAGGATTAAATTAAAAGTCAAACTAATTATTATATTAACGACAAAAATAGCATTTATGTATAGGAAGTGTCAAAAAGAATTTAATATAGCCTCTAATTAGACGCTGTATGGTGTCCTTAATCAGCATTCCAGTTGCTATATCATTAAACTCAGGTTTGGTTTGCGGTCCTCACACACGCAAAATTTATGGCACCAATTCTGTTTGGTAATTTTTTTCTTGGTTGATTTTTTTAATTAACATGTAGGACAATTCTAATTATAAAGCAGACAAGGACGCAGAATAATTCCCATAGAGAATAAGAGCGGAAGACTTATAAAATACTTTTTACCATGTTAAAGAATTTGAAGTAGTAGTCCTCTAAATATCTCGATCGAACTAATTAGAGATCTGAAAGAACAAGATTAATAGTCATGTGAGAGTAATTAGATGAACAGATATATATATGGCATATTCTTCTAATTGATCCGCCTTCGATCCTAATATAAGAGTTAATAGGGAGTTAAATTTGGTCTTAAATATAATATTTCAATCCATTTTGTTTTTATTTATTTATACAAACTAACCTTATTAATTATATATGTTAATGGAGTGTGTATCAAAGATTAGTTTTAATCCAAATGATTTAAGAGGATGTTTTAGAAAAACTAATACATATTTATGGCAAATATATAATTTAAGTATTTTTTTTAATATAATCAAATTAGTTAAGTAAATTTTATATTAATGAACGGGGATATCATTAGTAAGGAAACTAACACTTCAAGAAGTGGAAGCAAAAGTGTTCATGTTCATGCCCTAAGCTCACTCAATCTACCTCTCCTTAATATCCTAATCATTATTGGTTATTAAATAAATTAATTAAATGTAAGTTAAACTTAAATTTGATCAATTAACTTGAAGATCATTCAAGGGATATATGTTAATTATATCGTCAACATCACTTTCTTAACAGTCAATGTTTGTGTTTTAATAATAGAAAGCAATATAATATTATGATTTTAAACTTTTAGAACAAATTTACATCTAAAAAAATTTTAAATATCTAGCATTCTTGGGTGAAAACTTCCCAACCTACTAGCTAGTTGGTAGGTAGGCTTAGGTTGACATTTTGTTAATATGTCAAGGTACTGGTTATTTCAACTCACACCAATTGACCTGCCAGGTCAATCTGTATTCCTAACTCTAATTTTAGACCCAAATAATAGCATAAACTATAGCTTGAAGTTTTTAGAATACTATCAATTCATGTTTTTTTGTGTTTGACGGATATACTAGCTAGCCTCCCCAAGAAAGGTTCGATCCAAATATTGTTACGTCAGGATGAATCAAGCTCTTCTAAGACGGGCAAAACATAGATTGGAACAAAGGTATTGGAAGTTACGAAGAATTTGGAAGACGATTTGGATCGGATATGTAGGAAACTTTCTATAAGAGAAGCTTTTCTTGGAGCGCAGTCATGCTGCTTCTTTCGGGCATGTGTTGGGCTATGGGACGGCGTTTTTTACTAACAAAAAATTTCAGTTTGATTTTCTTAGAACAAATTTGGATGGTCTTAATTGCTTAATTGCTCAAGTGGGAAGAATGAAAGATAGAAATAGAACAGAACCCACATGGGGCCCACATTGATAAGTATGCTTTACCTACGAGCAAAACCCCGATTCCAGTAGTCATTTATTTGAGCACTATATAGGAGGGATCCAAAGTACTCTTGACTTAATACTATAATGCCGGCCTGAACCCTTATACAAGTGACAGAAGAGTACCGCAAGGTAAGGATGTTCATGAAGCCTAATTGCCCGCTATGCCTGCCCAAGCCTACAAAAAAATACCCAGCCCGTCTTAAAAAAAAGGCCCGAAAGAACTATTGGGTATGTTCAGGTTGGGCAAACTGTTGGGCAGGGCTGGGCATCGGGCACGGTATGCTGCCCTGCCCATTTGGCCCTGCCCGCAAAAATATATATAATTTTATTTATATATATTTTATTTGCCTCGTATTTATTTTCTAAATTAAACGCATTGTTGTATCAATATTTAGTATTCATTATACTTATTTATTTTTGAATTATTTTGAGAGTTAGAAACTAGATAAACAATTAAGTTTAATAAAATATACTAACAACATTTTTTTGTCATAGTCCACTCCTCTTAGCTACTACAAAAAGTAGTTTCATAGTATAGTAATTAGTAATAACAAAATTAAGGCCAAGTTTCTATTTTAATATAAAGTTACATTAGATTATTTAGAGGGATATAAATAATTAGTTAATTAATATAATATATTAACTTGTTGGGCATAGAAGCCCGCCCTGCCCAGTTCGCATTTACCCAGCCCAAACTTATTAGGGCTTTTCATGGGCAGGGCCTAATAAGTTTGGGTTGGGCAACAGGCTGCATTTTCCAACCCGTTCATTCTTCGGGCTGGGCATCGGGCAAAGGTCCTGTCCTACCCAGCCCTACCCATGTGCAATCCTACCGCAACGTGTAACTCGCATATGCCAACATTAGATACATATTTAAACTATTTTACTACTAAAATTTTCAATTAACATATACTACCTTCTGTTCTTAAAAATAAAGAGTTAGTTTAACATTCAATTTGATTTTAAATATAAGATCCCAATTTATTTTATCTCTCATATTTATTTATTTTTTTAAAAGAATTTTTTGTACTAGTTACACATGTTAAATGTTTTATCAAATGGTAGTTCTAACTTATATATATGATTAGAAATTATGGGCCTGTTTGTTTTTGTTCTTTGTTTTCTTGCTTTTAAAACAATTTTATCAAATTGTTTTTTAGAACAAGTTTTGAAAACAAAAAAACATAAGAATTTGTTTGGATAATAATTTTAAAAAATCATGTTTTAAAAAAAACTATAAAAAACCATATTTGGTAGGTGATAGCTGTGGTTACTAATGATAAGTGGTGAATAGTAGGTTAGAAGAGAAGAAGATTTTTCAAAACTTTTCAAAACAAAAAATAAAAAAGACAAAAGAAAAAAGAAAACATTTAAAATTTTTTTTGGTTTTTAAACACATGTTATTGTTTTTTGTTTTTTAAAACAATCAACTTAAAACAAATTACCAAACAAGGTTTTTTGTTTTTCTGTTTTTAAAAATAAAAAATTGTTTTCAAAACAAGAAACTTAACAAGCCCCATATTTTGGAGAAGATAACACCTAACTATTATAAATAACTAATTTAACAAACTTTATTAATTTATCCAAATTAGTCAACTAACTATTATATTAAGAATCAGAGTAGTATTATATAATAATCAAGACTATTTTAAAAAATGGACACAAGATAATGTTGGGTATGAACCCCTTCCTGTGTGAAGAAATATTTAAAACCCATAAGTGCGTCACTAACTAAAATGAAAGAGGTCGGAGTATGTTTTAAGCTTAAAGCCATATTCAAGGCAACAGAGCAACCGCTTGAGAGAAAAGAAGGGATAAAGCTATTTTCGCATATTTACAAGGCAAGTTAGCTGAAATTGTATGTGTTTGCCCAGTCATACTGTTCGAAAGTTTTGGTTGTTCCTTGTTTTCAATGATTGACTTGTCGATTTAATTTGTTTCTGCGTGTAAGAGATATTAAGTTGACATTGAATTCTGAATTTTGGGTATGTTCCAACTTCTTCATTCTCTATTGTAAGACTAATGTTTCGGCTAGCTGTGGCTGTTAACACTTGTTTGCACACTTGATTGAGAACACAGTGTTTATCCTAACATTGAGAGGTTCTTTACGCTAATAATTTTAGTGTCTCCTATTGTTATTGTGCTGTTTAATTTCTGTCATATACTTGCTTAACTGTTGCTCAAGGATTACTTGCAAGTGATGATAATTTATTCATGCTGCATATAAGTTTTTGGCTTGTATATATTTTTCTCATCAGATAATGGACCAATATAAGAACTGCATTGCTCACCAATGCTCATGCAATTATCTAGAGCTTGTATATTATTGATCAGACATTGGGGCATATGGTAGTAAAGTTGGATTAGCAGAGTAGCCAAATCATTGCAATGAGCTGCTTAGCTGACATACAATGATATTAACATCTTTTAGCCAAGCAGTGGATTACAATGCCACAGTTACGCTATGATCTCTACTCGTATTTTCATTTATTAGATTACTGTACAGCTCGCCCAATTCTCAATATTCCCAGAAACATTTTCTTGAAACCTTTCAGGTTAGAATTTCATAAATCTGATACGATAGTTTAATGCTGCTATTCCTCAGACAGAGAATCATTCAAAGTCCTTCAAGAACATTTGATCGAACCTGAGACTTGAGGTGATCCACTTCTCTCAATAACAATTCATCAAAAGTCCCCATGAAAATAAAGCGGTCCAGAAAACCCAACTTAAGAGCAAAGGAAATTATGTATTGACAATCTAAAAATGACTAAAAATTTAAGATGAATTATCTGAATTTAAACCCAACTTAATGATTTTC